GAGTCCTTGCTACACACGCCCTGGGGTTGTTGCCTCTCGGAGAAGTGCGAGCCTGACTGGTTGTCAGGGGCGCCGTATTTCTGCCGTGGCTCAGTCCCTAATTTGCTCTTTGATTCTGGACAAGCCGCGTCTCCTTTTTGGTCTCGCGTTTCCAGAGGAGGTAGTGAGTATCAAAGTGTCTGTTAGCTCTGAGAGTCCGAGATTTAAAGGCCGCCTAGAACGGAAACCTCAGGGCCAAGGGCTCCTGTCTGTCCTTTTCTTGCCTATATCTGCTGTGAAGAGCCGTACCTGGCCCATAGGTGCTCAGTGAATGTTTATTGAATGAACACACTTTTCTAAATCACAAGCGGGCAGAAGGAAGGCCTTTCTCAAACTCCGTCTCTAGAGGATTGTGTTCCTGTCCTCTCAAGAGATTCCACATTCAGACTTTGAGTTCTGTGGCTGTGGGTGAAAACCAACAAAGACCCGAATCCTCTGTCCTTGGGCGCTTGAGGAGAGTTGACCAGTTCGTGTTCCCATTGGGTCTGAGAACTCTGCCTTTAAAATCCATTCCTGGCCCCGCCTACCGCTTCCTGGTGTGGGTTGAGGGGCCACCCTCCATCACCTTAATTTGACTCTCCCCACAGAAACAACAGAAGAAACAAGTGGAACATCAGCTGGAAGAAGTAACGTGATTTCGTTTGCTCGCGACATGACTGCTGGGTTTGGGGGACACTCAGATGTAGTGGCCCCAGTCTCCTCTCCCCCACTCCCAGCCTGGGGAAGAAGGCTCACCCCTCAGATTCTACCCCATCCCCACAGGGTCCCTGATAACCTGGTCCCATGGGTGGGCCTGTCCTGGGGCATTGGTGACATTCTGGGGGCATGTCTCTTGCTGTGCCATCTCTGCCTCCCCCTGGTAAGAGCTCTGTCTTCCTCTTCCTATAGGAAAAGAAGGCAAACAATGAGAAACAGAAAACTGAAAGGGAGCTAGAGGTGAGTGGAGGGTGTGAAGTTTTCTCCTGTCCTCCGGGGAATGTTTCTTTCCTTCTCTTCCAGCACTTGCTTGGCTTTTCTCCCAAAGGTTCAAATCCAGACATTGAACGTACAGAAAGGGAAACTAAGTACGGACCTGTTTCACACGAAATGCTCGCTCAGATACTTTGAAGGTGGGAATCTGGGCACCCTGTCATCCTTCAGCCTGGCACCTTGACAGGTCTTTAGGGGAGTCCTTTGGGCCCCATCTCAACTCTCTCATTACAGAAGAGTGCAAGGATCTGGCCGACCGCCTGCAATGTTCATTGCAGCGTAAAGGAGAGTTAGAGCAGGTTCTCTGTGCTGTCACCGCCACACAGAAGAGGAAGG